GGGGCTGGGAGCCGGGGGGCTCGGCCAGGCTGAGGGCGCAGCAGGACGGCTCCTCCGCCGCCGCCATGGCGGCCTGAGGCGGGGGGCGCGCGAGGCCAGCGCGGCCCCGCCCCTCCCGCCCATTGGCTGGGCGGGGCGAGAGGCGGGGAGAGGGGCGGGGCCGGCGACGTGGCGTCCCCGTGTGTCCCCCCCACCCTCCCAGCAGCGCCCCCTGGCGGCCCAAGGGGGCGCCCCCAGCCCAATGTCGGTGGGGAACGGGGAGGAACTTCAGCCCCCAAAATTAAAAGAAACGGGTTTAAATCAGTTAAGGATTCTCAAGAGGCTCCTTCGGGAGAGGAGGCCGGGGAACACCCCGTCCCCGTCCCACCGGCGGCCCCCCCCCATCCCACCAGATCCATCCTCCGCGAATCCCTGTGAGCAGAGAGGAGCAGGAACCATCACAGAATGCTATGGGGTTGGAAGGGACCTCTGGAGATCATCTAGTCCAACCCCCTGCCAAAGTAGGTCCACCCAGAGCAGGTCCCACAGGAACGTGTCCAGGTGGGTTTGAATGTCTCCAGAGAAGGAGACTCCACCACCTCCCTGGGCAGCCTCTGCCAGGGCTCTGCCACCCTCAAAGTGAAGAAGTTCCTCCTCATGTTTAGATGGAACTTCTTATACTTAAGTTTGTGCCCATTCCCTCTTGTCCTGTCCCTGGGCACCACTGAGAAAAGACTGGCCCCATCCTCCTGACACCCACCCTTGAAGTATTTAGAGGTGTTGATCAGATCCCCCCTCAGCCTTCTCTTCTCCAGACTAAAAAGACCCAAATCCCTCAGCCTTTCTCATCAGAGAGATGCTCCAGGCCCCTCATCACCTCTGTAGCCTCTGCTGTGCCCTCTCCAGCAGTTCCCTGTCCTTCTGGAACTGGGGAGCCCAGAACTGGTCCCAGTGCTCCAGATGGGGCCTCCCCAGGGCAGAGCAGAGGGGCAGGATGACCTCCCTCCACCTGCTGGTCCTGATGCCCCCCCGGATGCCATTGGCCTTCTTGGCCACAAGGGCCCATTGCTGGCTCATGGCCATCCTGTTGTCCACCAGGACCCCCACGTCTTTCTCCTCAGAGCTGCTCACCAGAAGGTCAACCCCCAACCTGTCCTGGTGCAGGGGGTTATTCCTCCCCAGGAGCAGGACCCTCCACTTGCCCTGGTAGAAGTTCACCGTGGTGGGGGTGACGTCACGCAGCACAGCCACCCCGCTGTTAAGCCCAAACGCTACGTTTATTGAGGACTGCGCACACCGTGATACCTGGGGGTTCAGCAACTTGTGAAATTATCTAAATATCTGATGCCCCCCCGGATGCCATTGGCCTTCTTGGCCACAAGGGCCCATTGCTGGCTCATGGCCATCCTGTTGTCCACCAGGACCCCCACGTCTTTCTCCTCAGAGCTGCTCACCAGAAGGTCAACCCCCAACCTGTCCTGGTGCAGGGGGTTATTCCTCCCCAGGAGCAGGACCCTCCACTTGCCCTGGTAGAAGTTCACCGTGGTGGGGGTGACGTCACGCAGCACAGCCACCCCGCTGTTAAGCCCAAACGCTACGTTTATTGAGGACTGCGCACACCGTGATACCTGGGGGTTCAGCAACTTGTGAAATTATCTAAATATCATTAAATATATTTAAAAAAAAAAAAAAAAAGAAAAAAAAAACAAAACAAAAATAAACCCCAAAAAACCCTAACCGGACTCTGGACTAAACAAGGTGAATGTTAAACTAAAAAGTTAGAAGGGACGCTGCTTACATTAACGCTTCCTTTAAAAAATATAATTTTTTTTTCTTCTTTTTCTTCTTTTTTTTTTTAAGTCAATTAACCACAGTGGTGAGACGTGCTCTCTTTTTCAGCCGTTGCCGCGCGGCGTGCAGAGTGTCACTGCCCCCCCTCCCCCAGTCACACCAGCCCCCCCCGTCGTGTCACCCCTCCGGGGAAAGGGGACAGACAGACGGATGGACAGACGGACGGGCTGCCACCTCTCCACACCACATGGAAAAGAGTTGTGTCACCACTGTGCCGCGGGGACAGCCGCCGACCCCGAGTCTCTTGGTCAAAAAAGGCCAGGAGGCGGTGGAGGGGGTTAAGGGAGGAGGGGGGAGGAAAAAAAAATAAACCCCCCCCTTCCCCGCATCCCAAGAGAAAAAAACTGTCCCGTCGGGAGGCGGGAACAGGATCGAGTCCAGAGGAGATGAAACCCGTGAGGTGCGTCCCAGCGTCAGTCGATGTACTGCGACAGCCAGCGGAAGCCCTCGCCGTAGCCTTGCCTCTTCAGCACGCTGCACATGAACACCTCCATGGGCCGGGCGTTCAGGTCCTTCAGTGGCACGTTTCCCTAAGGAAAATCCAAAGGGAGGGTGAGGTCATGGAATGGTTGAGGCTTGGAAGCCACCACGGGCAGGGACACCTCCCAACAGAGCGGGTCGCTCAAAGCTCCGTCCAGCTTGGCCTTGAACCCCTCCAGGGATGGGGCATCCAACTTCTCTGGGCAACTTGGGCCATGCTCTCACCATCCTCACAGCAAATAATATCTTCCTAATATCTAATCTAAATCTCCCCTCTTTCACTTCAAAACCATCCCCCCTCGTCCTATCACTCCCCCCCCGATCAAGAGTCCCTCCCCATCTCTCCTGTAGCTCCCTTCAGATATTGGAATGCTACTCTAAAGTCTCCCTGGAGCCTTCTCTTCTCCAGGCTGAACACCCCCAACTCTCTCAGCCTGTCATAGAATCATAGAATTGTCCAGGTTGGAAGGGACCTTTAAGATCATCTAGTCCAACCATCAACCTCCTCTGAGAATCTTCGTGACCTCCTCTGAGAATCTTCGTGGTCCCTGGACCTGTTGCCCTGCTGCCCTCAGCGTCACCCCCACCCTGGAGAGGTTCCCCCTCTCTGGAGGGTCCTCTCCAGGGTACAGGACCCTCGGAGTCACCCGTGGGGCAGGGAAAAGGCATGGAAACACTAAAGCACAGCGTTTTCCAGGCACCCACTGATGTATCTGTGACTCCCAAAGCAACCATCACCTCACAGGTAGGTGAGGGCCAAGAGCAGCAGGGTTTGACTACTCTCCCCCCAATCAATCTTAACTGTAACACTTTTAAACACCAGAAAAATTATTTGAGGCATAACTGGATGGAAATTCAGAGTAATGAAGCCAGAAGAGCCAGACAACATATTGAACCACCAGCTTAACACTCAATTCCCCAACTGAGGAAGCACCGTGTTTTGCACAATCCTGAGAGTTTCAACACTTGCCCAAGGACATAATAATTATTAAAGATTCAGCTTGGTCAATATCCTGGATAAAATTCCCAACTAACAGCTCAGTTTCCAGACGGAGCCTTGAACTCTGCACGGAAAGGCACGAGCCCTCCCTTGAGTGTGGTCAGTCCAAGAGCTGGATGCCTCCCTACCTTTCCTGTGGTCTGTCCGTAGAGCCCGAAGATCTCCCGCAGCTTCTCCTCGCTGATGGCCTCCGGTCTGTCGATTTTGTTACCCAAGATGAGGATTGGCACGTTGGATATTGTTTCATCTGTCATTAGGGCCTGCGGGCGAGACGGAGGGGTTAAGGAGAGGCAGAACAAACAGTGGCAATTTGAAGAAAAACTCCTTTGTTTCAGCTCTGTGACCAACAAGGACTAATTTTTGGTGCTACAATAGTGCTGAAGAGGAGTCTCTCTGGAAAGGTTTCTCAGAAGCAGGTCCTATCTAAACCCACAGGCCATTAAAAAATTTCAAGAGGCTGCTCAAGATCCCATGGTCAACCTGCAGTAATGGTACCCCAGCTTATAGAATCAAGGAATAGTTTGGGTTGCAAGGGACCTTAAAGAGCATTGAGTTCCAACCCCTGCCCTGGGCAGGGACACCTCGCACCAGACCAGGTTGCTCCAAGCCCCATCCAGCCTGGCCTTGAACCCCTCCAGGGATGGGGCAGCCACAGCTTCTCTGGGCAACCTGGGCCAGGCTCTCACCACCCTCACAGCAAAGAATTTCTTTCTACTATCTAATCTAAATCTCCCCTCTTTCAGTTTAAAACCGTTCCCCCTCGACCCATGGTTCCCCTCCCTGATCAAGGGTCCTTCCCCATCTCTCCTGTACCCCCTTCAGATACTGAAAGGCAGTTGTAAGGGCTCCCCGGAGCCTTCTCTTCTCCAGGCTGAACACCCCCAACTCTCTCAGCCTGTCCTCACAGTAGAGGTGCTCCAGCCCTCTGAGCATCTTTGTGGCCTCCTCCAGACCTGCAGAAGAAGGTCCATGTCCTTCTTGTGCTGAGGATTCCAAAGCTGGAAGCAGCACTCCAGGCTTCTCCAGCTTATGAAGAGCTTTATACTTATAAATCCATGCTCATCTGGTCCCTGCATAAAGTAACGTGCACTTTGGAGGCTGTAAAAGGTGCAGTGAAGTACAAACCCAAAGCACAAGACTCTCAAAATGCGACGTACGCCAAGTGCCAGCCCCCAAAAGAAAAACATTCTTTCTAGTTTAGCTACTCAGAAGTGTTGGGGAAGGAAAAAAAAGGAAGAAAGTTTACATTAAGCTCAACTTTGGATTCCATAAGCCGCGAGTGGTCTGCGCAGTCCACCAGGAAGACGATCCCGTTGATGGCCGGCAGGTAGTTCTTCCAGACCCGGCGAGCTGGAAGACAGAAGTGACAAACACCACTCCTGTGAAAACACTACCTGGAAAGACAGGAAAACTACACCCAAAAATGAGCCACCCTCTGTTAGGATTTCCTGGAATCAGCGCTAAGACTCTCCAGTGAAGGGCCTGATCTCTGTGTTCATAAGTAACCACAGCTGCCTTTTCCGCCAGGGTGTTTTTCTTCCAATATCCATGTGTGATAAAAAAAAAAAAAAGGCCAGAAAAACTTTTCTTAGAACTTCTAGAAATTCTAAAAATAAAAATCCAGCAATTAGTACGTTCAAGTCTTCCACGGCTAAAAATATTTCAGGCAGCAAAGCATGAACTGGCCGCATTTTTTTTTCCCCAAATTGCCAGAATTAAGCAGAAGCATCGAACCACCGAAACAACTGGTACCCAGGAGGTTATTTCCACATACAGCTCCACAAATAATCTCAGGCCACAACTAATCAGGTACCGCTCATGGCTATTGCTTTTCAGCATCACTTTTTGGTAGATTTTTCTTAAGGCATCGCAGAAATCAGAAAATTAACCTCATTTGGTGTCTCCCACTCAGCAACGTCACTTTTACCTTGTTCATGTCCACCCAGATCAAAAGTCGTGAAGGTCATTCCAGCAATTGTCAGTTCCTCTGATGCTGAAAAGTAAGAAACACAGGCTGTGTTGCAGGAAAATAAAGCAGCTGTCACTGACTGAATTTCTTGGGGCCCTCGTTTGACACCACACACGCTCCGCATGTAAGATATTCTGTAGAATTCACAGATTCCCTGAATTTCCTGTAGAATTCAGCCACTGAAATGGAGTTGTTTCACAAAATCACGAGCGGGAGAAAAGAATTTCTCCTACCTTCCCACTTAAGCACAATCATATTAATTGGCAATTATTTCCTGTAGAATTCAGCCACTGAAATGGAGTCGTTTCACAAAATCACGAGTGGGAGAAAAGCATTTCTCCTACCTTCCCACTTTAGCACGATCATATTAATTGGTAATTATGACACTTGTCATTAGAAACCTGTTGACTCCCCAAGACAGGCAGGTCATATTAATTTAAGCTCACCGGCTCTCGGGCTCTCTATTTTCTATCTGAGAGGAAAACACAAACCCACCACCTGGGGCAACCAACGTGCAACTGCATCGCCAGGAGCAGCTTTAAGACCCTTAAAAGCCTGTTGTCTCGATGCCAAACTATCACTGAGGCATCTTTTGACATTGTGTCCCCAAAATTAGAGAGGAAAAGCCACACGGTGGGGCCCCGTTGCTGGCAGACTTACTGGGATGTAGCGTGGGGACATGCTGACCCAGCCTGTCGTCTTTGAGCATGTGCAGCAGAGTGGTTTTGCCTGCGTTATCCAAGCCCAGGAACACAAGTTTTCCAGATTTCTTGTACAAACCTGGAAGGAAACCAAAAAGCAAGAAAAACTCCAGCTGATCTCGGCGTGGGGAGAAAACACCTGCCCCTCTCCAGTACCTCCAGCACGGACACACAACAGCAGGGGAAAAAAAAACCACGCAGCTTGAACTGGTCACGTCTACAACAGGCGTTTTCTAAGCTTTTATTTCTAAGAAAAACATTTTCTTTCCTCAGATACATCCTCCCAGAAGAGTGTGCTGCAGTTTTACTTATGTGCCATGGGTTATGGATCCATATGTTGCCCCAAAGGGGTATTCAAATGTGAAAATTGAACCAACTCATGAAAGACAGCAGCCAGTTGTTGAAGAAAAAGCACAAAGCATGGAACAACCCACCACTTTCTTTAGATAAGCTGATTATTTTTTCCACTTCTAGGTGTGCATCTACCATAGGCAGGTTCCCTTGGGTTTCCAACAGGACTTTTTCTCATCCCTCCCTCGACACAGAGCGAACACCCCGTCCTCCAGCAAGGACCTCTGCTGGAATTCAGGCCTCTGGCAGGAGGTGCCTGGCCACCACCCATCCCTCAGAAGAGGGCTACTTGTACCACAGGGAGGCCGCCAGCCCAGCTGTGCAGGTCACCCAAGACTGGGCAGCGTTTTGGCCACCACCACCTCCGCCTCCAACCCGGATGGCACTGGGGGTGTTAGTCATCAGCTCCCCCAGGCAGGTCACGCTGGGTAGCTTGGCATGGGAAGTGATAATTTGAGGAGAAACAAGCCAGCCAGCTGCAGCAGTGAGAAATAAGGGCAAACTCTGGTGGAGCTGGTGAGCCTGGATACCAGGAGGAGGAGAAAGAGGAGGAGGAAGAAGTTTTTTCCCTGGCTGGGCAGCACAGCTGCTGGGCTCAAGGGGCCCTTGGCATCAGCCCAGCTGCTCTCCTGCTTCTTAAACAGCAACAGAAAGATCGAGGGGGAGCAGAACACCTCCAAAATACTCTCAAAGTTTCTCCCCCCCCCCCCGCTGTAAAAAAAAAGCATTTATTGGCTTGCAGCCTTCTGGCCAAAACTTCATCCTTGTCAGAGCCACCGCACGCTCCGGAAGAGAGAGACACTTTAATTGCCAACTTTGGGAGGATTTTGGCAAGCGGCACGAGCCAAACCGACCCCGAGGGGCAGCTGCCACAACCCGAGCGGGGATGGTGAGGGAACTAAGGCGAGGGGGCATTACCGAGGAACTGCAGCACGCTGCTGAAGCCGTTGTAGATCCATTCGAAGATGAAAGACATCGCTGAGGATTTCACTCGCCTGCGGGGGGGGACAAAACCCAGCGGGGTTAAAGGCGCTGGGCTGGCAACCCGTCCCCCTGCCCACCCTGGTCGTCGGAGCAGGCCCCGCTCCACCGTGAGGGGAGGCCGGGCCCCGGCGGCCTCAAGGGCGGGCGGTGAGGCCTAGCCCCCGCCCCGCCCCCGCTCTGCCTGCGTGTCACCCCACACAACCCTTCCCCGCCGCCTCCCCGCGCCCGGCCCGGTCCCCGCCGCTCGGTTCGTCACTCCCCGCCTTCCCCCCGCGGTGTCCGGCCGCCCCCCGCCGCTCACCCCCGGCCGTCCCCGGGCCGCCGCCACACCGACTCCCCTCCTCGGCCGCCGCCAGCTCCCCGCCGGAAATACGTCACCCTCTTCCCCCCCTCAGGACGCCCCGCCCACTTCCGCCCCGCCGCGCTGGCTTCCTCACGTCACCGCCCCGCTCCCCGAGGCCGCGGGGTCGAGACCAGCCCCCGCCGGGTGGCGAATGGCGACAGCGCCCTTCCTCACCCGCTACATCCACCCCCTTCCACAAGCACAAACCCCTCCAAGGGCCGCTCTTCACCCCTCAGGAAAGGAGGGAGCCCCCGCAGCGCTGGGTTTCGGTAGGTTTTTCCGATTTATTTATTTATTTCTAGCATCCATACACGTACCATCTCCTGCGGCCATTTACAGAGCACAGCCTACGGCCACGCACAAGCGGGGCGCGGGGGGTTTTATAAATTACGTCTTTTAGCCTCCACAGGACCCCGACGGAGCGGACACATCACTGCTAGACAGGTAATTCTAATGGGGAAAGTTGGAGGCCAGGTCCTCTTGCCGTTTTTCCTGCGTGTGGCGGCTCCTTGGTGGGAAGGACACGGCCGCCTCCCCACCCATCTTCAGGCCTTAGTTCTTCTGGTAGTAGAACCACTTGTCAACTGTGCAGAGTAGAGGAAAAAAAAAACCAACAACAATTGAGGGGGTTAGTCCTCTGGTAGCCACCCGCTTATTAATTGTCACTGCCCGGGTGTCACCCGCAGGGTTCCTCCGGCTCCTCTCACCGAGGTCACCACGCACCCAACAGGTTCTCCCACAGCCCTGTTGACCTGTTTTTTGCTTTCTGGCAGAAGTCACCCCCTCTCTCAGCCTACACGCCTGGGTTTAGGTGAGGACAGCACAGCTCAGCTTTCCTCTGGGCGGCGAAGTCATTTTTGCCCCAAACTCTCCCCATCCGCATGGGAGAGGGGGCTATTTCTTTACCACCCGTGAAGAGGGTGGGAGGAAGAGCCTGGCCACACTGCTGGGGGTTCTCCACACTCCCCGCTTGCCCTCGGGTCTTGTCCCTGCTACAGCAACGCCCAGGCATCACGTGTGAGGCACCCGTGGCCACCTCACGCCGAAGGAAAGGGTTCCAGCCCAGCGAGGATTCACCCCGTGGCCATTGAGTGTCCCTCAGGCATCCAGAGGCTCGTGACCAGCTCGCAGAGGACACTTGTCCAGCAACACATCTCCGATCAGAAGGTTCAACTGACCAATTCCTGCATCTGCTCTGTACAGGTAGGGAGTAATTCCCTCCCTTGGCTCGCCCGCACTGAGGATACTGATGAACCCCCTTTTTTGGAGAAACTAAAACCACTCTCCTGCCATCACGGCGCTCCAGGCCTCTGCAGAGCTGCTCTTTCACGACCTCCTATAAACCAAATCTCTTTTGGGGACAAACTGTGGCACCTCGGGTCTCCTACTTACCATTCTTTTACCTGCCTCGTACCCAAACAAGGAAGTAAGTCAACAAGAGAAGTTATTTAGGAATTAAACAGCCTCCCGGACACAGGCTGGGTCCAACAGGGCCCTTCATTTCTCCTCCCACTAGGGCCGTACCCAGCTATCGGTTAAGACCCTCATTTTCCTAATGGTAATTGCTTCCAGGAAGGACATGGGTTGTGAGGACTCACCTTCGGGCGGGATGGGGTTGGCAGCTTTACTCGGCGGTGCCTGAAAGAAGAAAGGTGTTAGCAGAGAGCAGCTGCTGAGGGAGGTGGACCTCATGCCCCAAGCTCGCTAGATGTCACCTAGAGCTGTCCCCAAGTCTGTACCGTGGTCAGTTTAATATTAAGCAGCGTAAGCTGGTCTGTATGAGCCAGCTGTGAGGGAATAAACAAGCTCACGTTCCTGTCATTGCCACAGCCTCCTCGTTCCATAGATGTCCTACGTGCCAGGGGTGCTCTGCTCTGAGCAGAGCCTGCAGTGCCACCTGCTCCTCACCACACGCAGTGGCTGCTCCACTGTCTACACAGTTGCAGGCAGCCTGCTTTTTTTTTTTTTAAATCCACAGTGGAAGAGAGGAAAGGAAGTAAAAAGGACTCATGAAAAACTTCTCTGAAGAGCTTTTACGCGATGTCCAGCAACAAAAGGCAGACAAGGATCCCTAACTGGTGACACATCCTCCCCAGGGGTTACACTTTCATTGACTTATAAAGTAATTTGGATACCACCAGAGGATACAAGCACTTTTAAAACTGACTTATAAAGTAATTTGGATACCACCAGAGCATACAAGCACTTTTAAAACTCTCTGCTCTGGTGAGACCCCACCTGGAGCACTGTGTCCAGCTCTGGAGTCCTCCGCATAGGAGGGAGATGGCCCTGTTGGAGAGGCCCCAGCAGCGGGCAACAGAGATGATCAGAGGGCTGGAGCACCTCGGCTATGAAGACAGGCTGAGAGGGTTGGGGTTGGAGAAGAGAAGGCTCCGGGAGACCTTAGAGCCCCTTCCAGTACCTGAAGGGAGCTACAGGAGAGATGGGGAGGGACTCTTGATCAGGGAGTGGAGTGACAGGATGAGGGGGAATGGTTTTAAACTGAAAGAGGGAAGATTTAGATTAGATACCAGAAAGAAATTCTTTCCTGTGAGGGTGATGAGACACTGGCCCAGGTTGCCCAGAGAAGCTGTGGCTGCCCCATCCCTGGAGGGGTTCAAGGCCAGGCTGGATGGGGCTTGGAGCAACCTGGTCTGGTGAGAGGTGTCCCTGCCCAGGGCAGGGGGGTGGAACTCAATGATCTTTAAGGTCCCTTCCAACTCTAACCATTCTGTGGTTCTAAAACCAAGACGATGACAGAAGGCTATGGAGAGACTCTGGTTTCCAGTCACATTTCCATGCTCTGAGGCAACGTTTGTCTTTTGATTTTTCTGTCCCACTCCTCTAACCCCTTTCAATTTGCCAACAGCACTACTTCACAAGCCTAGGAAGATGCAGTTATGTCCAGAAACTGTAGGGCTACTACACTGGGAACTTCAAGCTCTTCATTGCAAAGGATGCAAGGTCCCTGACTGCAACGCTCTCAGAAATTAGGCTTTCTCTTCTCAAAGGATGACCTGGGCCGTGAAGCTCTTGGAAGGCCAAATATTTAAACACTCTCTGAACAGCTGACAGCCAAGCTATGGTTCAGAAGTTTAGCCCTTCACACAAACTTTGTTTTGGATTCCATCTCCCAGAGGACTAAGGGCAAGGAGAAGCCTCTGGAAGAACGGCTGGCTTGCTCCACATTCACCCTGTTAATCAGAAACAGGTGCTGTGTTCAGGCATCCAAAATATTTTTTCTGAGCATACCATGTGCTATTCACACAGCGACGACAGTTTACACAAATCATATAGTTTTCCCCAACGCTGACGTTGGGGGTAGGACACTCAGATTTGTACTTACTGCATCCACAGTAGCTTTTGCACACTCTTGGCTACAGCAGAAAGGGCTGTCGGACACCGTCAGGTTTGTGCTAGAAGAGAAAGGTCACTCGTGAGCAAGCGAAAGCCAAGTCTCTCCCCCTCTAGAGTATTAAATAATGGAATATTAAGAATCATTGTTACAGCTGCCAAGGGGAAAGGGAAGGCCTGCAGAGACAGCCAGTGGCTAACAGAAAGCATGGCATCGCTCAGGAAAGAGAAGTTTCAGGGTTATTTGTTTAGGGGAAACGAACACACACAGTACCACAAGCATTAACCTACCAGTTGATCTCCCCACCGTCAGTCTTCTTTGCTATTAAAGCTTTCCAGTGTTCATGAGTGTTTTTGATGACATTCACCGCAAAATCCTGCAGTTGAAGACAAAAAATAAATAATCACATTATGTGTAAGCACTAGGCCATTTTCTCCAGACTACCTGTTACGTGGAACAAGAGACCAGTATTTATAGGCTGATTTTTAGATAGTTTTTCACTCTGCACAGGACCCAAAGAGACCTCTTCCATTACTGGACCTTTCAGGAACAGCAGCAAGTTCACAGCACACAACGGCTGAACAATGGGGATTTTATAATAGCAATTGTTTTACTTTCAAGATGGGAGGATACGCCAAGGCCACCGAGCTTGAAGCCAAAAGAAACTGAAGGCAGATATTCTAGTCTCGGGCCAGTGCTATATTATAAAAGCACCTCCACTCTGCTGCTCCTCCCACTCAGTTTGTCTTTGGCAGCTAATTGATACCAACCTATCTGTGAGCTCTCTTCCACCCCAGGCAAACTGCTGTGCAGAGCAACAGGAAGAGACATGCACCTAATCTAGTTTTGCAACTGTTTAAAAATGAATCTGCTTCCAAGCATATCACAGGGTTTGGTTTTTTTCCCTTAAAAAAAGGTAGTATATGCTCAAGCATTAACCCGTCAGATGAAGAAGGAAGCACACACAATTCTTTGTTAGCATGAACACCAGCAATAAATATCCTGGTGTGATACCACATGGAGCCAAATAAAACACTGCAGGAACACGTGCTGGGTTCTTTGTCCCTATTTTCCGCCTTGGCCTTGATTTCAGATGTCCCAACCCACCCAACCTAGTGCTGTGCTACAGCCAAAGGGGACAAGTCCACTCCCACATTACTTCCATTTTAGCTCCCCTTACCCTTTCCTTCTCTGCACCAACTCTGGAGCTCTGGGAGTTGAGTCACCTCACTAACCTACTCATGCACCCCAGGACTGCCAGGAGGGAGGGTGCAGAAGCAGGATTTCACCCTTTCAAAAACAGTAGGTTTTCTGACCCAACCCAGAGAAGGGGCAGAGGAATAAGGGCGTGAGGGAACACTTTATGCCTGAAGGAAGAAGCATTTTAACTTGCAAGCAGTCAACTTGCAGCAGGCTGCAGTGGAACAAAGCCAGTGAGCAAGGGAGGCAAAGGGTGATGCCAAGCACCCTTCGCTCCAGAGTGGGAATGAATAAACCTGGTGTTTTCCACCCTTGTTCTGACACGGAGGCTCCCAGCCCTGAGGGGATCCCACAAGAACATCATCTAGAAGGAAAACTGATAGTATCCAACAGCAGCTGGGTGATTGATAACCCTACGCTTTTTCTCCTAGTACCCCTGCAAACGCCAGGCTGGAAACACGTGGAATAGTATGCTGGAAAAACAGCAGGAAGAATGAAGGCAGCTATCAGCAGCCCCATAGAAACCTGTTCTTCTCAGCAATTGCTCATTTGTGTCCTCATGCACCTCAAGCTCAGGGTTTGGACAGCATGCAAAGGCACGCTCACAATAATGAAGAAAGGCGGCGCTACCTTGTCTTTAAATTCACCATTAAAAGCAAACTGGTTTTCTGGCTTTCCATCAGGTACTTTGTATCTTCTGAACCAGTCCACTGTAGCTTCCAGGTATCCAGGTTTCAGCCTTCGGACATCGTTGATATCTAGCCGTGGAGAAAAGGTTTGTTAGCTAGATCTAGTAACAAAAGTTCCTGAGCTACTAACCCTGCTCTTCTGAGCTGCCCCTCCTCAGGTAGCCCCAGCAACACCACAGACAGGTTACAGTAACTGCAGAGGGAAGTCAGTGTTTCAACTTCACAGTATGTCCTGATCCTTCCCAGGAGCACGCACACATTTAAACAGCTTTGATTAGACACTTACTGGACAACCCCCTTTCCTCCCACTCCGTGGACAGGCTGTGCAGCCACCCTCTTTCTTTGAGATGCGAGGCTGTGCAGAGGACTGAATTTGGGATAAATAGCACTAAAATGTTTTGCTATAGGATTGATAACATCCTATTCTGCTGTCCTTCCAGTATCACATCTGATGAGTACCGTTGGCACAGATGGAACAAGCCCATGTCCTGACTTGAAAGTCTCCTGCAGGCTCTGAATGGAGAAAGGGAAGTACTAAGCTTGCTCCTCCCTCCTGTTACCTACCATTAAAGTTGCCTGCTTCAGGGTCTTCAACATTGATAGCAATTATCTTCCAGTCTGTCTCCCCCTCATCAATCAGAGCCAGCGTGCCCAGCACCTTCACCTTGATGATTTCTCCTCGAGAGCAGACCTGCAAGGACAAAGACCTTGTTGTCTGGAGTGATGCAGCCAAGGAAGGCACAACAGGAGATGGTGCAAGCTGGGAGAGTTCAGCAAGCAGTCAGGTACCACGAAATTAGCTGTCACTTATCAGCAGTTGATGAGCCCTGGTTCACAAGGCTCACTGTAAGATCTCATCAACAATCTCCAGGGGCAGTGGAGGGAAACATTACATTCTTAAGGCAGAGGACGTAGGAACTGAATAATGTCTCTGGCTAATTGACTTCAGAGAGATTAATTACGTGTTTCAAAAGACAGTTACCCTTTAGAATGTGTTACCTTGCTTCCAATTTCACACACGTCAATCGGATCGTTATCTCCACAGCAGCCAGTGTTTTCATCTTTGTGAGCTGGATCTTCCCAAGTCTGCAAAAAAACCCCACACGTAGGAATTTAGAACTCTCAGGTTTCAAGTGGCAACAAAAAGCAGGTTTATTTCAGGCATGCAATTGCCTTGAAGATACAGATGATGGCCCACTTCACCTTGCTTTCAGGTCTAGTGGTTGGGCTACTTCAGAGTGCCTGCAAATGCAGCTTGAATCCAAGTTAAAAGGTCTTATCTTGGCAAGGGTAAACTGCTCCCTCCCACTGACAAACCTTGTTTCAACAACATTCCAGACTTCCTCCTCCGTTCCACAGCTGCATAAAGGTGAAGTTCACATCTATAAAGAACACTCATTGACTTGGCTGCCTGCCTGTTCCTCTCCCTATTCATCTCTTAACAGAAGTTTCCTGAACTCCAGATAGCAGTCTAAAAGAGATGGAAGACAGACAGGGTGTATTGTTTCCTTTTAATTAAACAATTAAAGACAGGCTGTTACACTACAGCAGTGACAAGAACGCCAAGTCCCATACCCTATGCTACCCAGTATGCTAACGCCTGTCACCTGAAGTGATGAGGATAAGTTGGAAGACAGGAGTCCATAAGGCATTTGAGCAATGCCTCCAAAAATAATAGCTGCTTAAAACACGGACTTCTGATCAGGAGGAAAAGGAACACCATGCTCACTTGCATCATAAGGAGCACCTACCTCTAAGGTTGCTCAGATATAAAAAGAAGAAACGCTCTTCCCAAATCTCTGCATGCCAGGACATGACTAGTGTAATTCCAGGGCATTCAGGAAGATGTACTGAAACCTGGGGGATGCTAAAGGACTCTTCACAATTGCTATCACACTTCTCTACAAAAGATTTTTAAGCTCAGTCCCTTACCCTTGACACGTACGTTTCTTCAGTTCACTAACACACCACTAGGTGAAGGCTCCAAAAGCTGTAATTTGGTACAAAGAAACCAGCTCCCTAATCCATCCCAGTAGAAAACAACTCAACTTCAAAACTCACCTTAAATCAAGAAACCATGACAGACTAATACAGGAGAACATCCCTTTCCAGCAGTCAGAGAAACTCCCAAGTAGCTCTGGAAGCCTACATAGCTTGAGAGGAGATGCACATGCATCAAGAATTCAAGGAGAAACTCTCCATGCAGGACCTAGAAGTTTTATACTCTCTCTTTTTTCTATTCTTTCACAAGCCATAGTGTTTTATCCTGTAAAACTTTAAATCACAAAAGGGGTTGGAAAAGACCGTGAGATGCTCAGCTCATCCCTCCACCCAAAGCAAGGCCAGGTCCAGCTGAATCATTCCCAGGCCATCCATCCTGGTGCTTTGCCATTCTGGCCACAGGAAAGGTTTTTCCTGGTGTATGAAGTGGAGGAGAAGATTATCAGGTTAAGGCCATTACTTGTCCTCTCCACAACAGAGAGGGAAAACATTTCAGTTGCTATCTATTCTCACTCTGCAACATTTAACGCGTTTGAGGCCTTGCCTTCATCCATTCTGTTTCCTCTCCACAACAGAGAGGGAAAACATTTCAGTCGCTATCTATTCTCACTCTGCAGCAACACTAAATGAGTTTGAGGCCTTGCCTCCACCCATTCTGTTTCTGACAAAAGCATCCCAGATTCCTCCATTCTCTCTTTATATAGGAATAGTTTCTAGAGGTGCAAATGTCCCTGTTGTTCCCCAGTATATTGTCTTCGACTGGCCCTCATCATCCTTGGGATATATCACCTAGACCACCCCACTGTGTCCCATTAGAGATGGGAGCATCTTTCATTTGGATTCCACTTGAAATCCACATAGTTTTGCTCAGGACACAGGCTGCCCACTTGTTATCCTCAGGAACGTACCTAAACACGCTTTCTGGTGTTAAAGCACCATCCAGAAACAGAAGACATTTGGAGAAGACACTGGACACGCACTGCTATCAAGACTACAATTTGAAAATTCAGTGTCTTTCCCCATAAACTGTCATTGATGATTTGTTTTTCTAAAGGCAACTCGAACCTTAGAGAACAGAGGCAAACAGCCTTGCTCAAAATTCCTCTTTATCTAGCGGTCACCAACCAGTTAAGAGCATGTGTCCAGGTGTCACCATCTGTTGGTGCCCCCTTGCCAGTTGTGTCAGAGAAAACATGTCAGTGCAGCTCTGAACATCTGCCTCAGGCAGCCTCTGGACTCCTGAGTACCTTCTCAGACCCAACACTGAGAACAGGTCATCTACTACCATCCAACAGGTCAATCCATCAGTCTAGCTGTGTGGTTTAGACCCTGAACAATCAGAGGGCAAGAAACAGGAAAGATACAGTCTTCAGATCTTCATTATTTTAGATTTTGGAAGTGGACAATCAGCTAATTCAATGCAACAAACATCTTCTGTAAAGATTCAGCCTAGGGGCGATACGCTGAGATCCTGTACAGGTTTAGCTCTTTATGCTTCACCAGGCAGGAGCTGAGGGCATTGCATTGCCAGGTGCCCACTATGAACCCTCATCTTCCTTGTGTGGTGTCAGCTTCCTTATCCAAAAGGCAAGAACCTGCCAGCTACTGTCCCACTGCTGAGTGGCCAAGGAGAGGAGTGACACAGAAGGTACCTCACTAACATCCTCAAATTTTCCAGCAGCTTCTTTACAGTGTTAGCTACAAGACTATTTCTTGAGATTTCTACTTAAAAGCACTCCTGCTTTCTTGACAGGTTCTCTTCATTAGCAAGATTACACATGCAGCAGCAAACGCTCCGTTCCAGATCAGACTCTTGGCTGACCTCGCTCATTAATTTGGTGGTGGTCAAAAACACACACAGGCATCCTCCCTCCTCCCTCCCAGAAAGGATGAGCCACCGAAACAAGTTACAGTACCTGTGGGATAGCACCGTAATTCCAGATATAACCTTTATGGGGAAACACGTTCGCTACGTAGCGCAGTTTTCCTTTCTTAACGTCTTGCTTAATTGGGTTTAAGGGATCCTTTGTTGCAATCTGAAAGACAAGTTACACAAATCTCTCCGCATTGCACTCGAAGAAATCCCAAGCAATTACTATTTTTATTTTTTTTTTTAATGAAGCTGACTGCTAACTGACAAGCCAAGAGATCAGGAGCTAACCCATCAAGCCAACAGTAGATATTGGACAACCTCATTTCCTGTTGCGTTGCCATCTCCTGGGATACAGCTTTCAGCAGAGCTACAAACGTCAGAAGCACACGGGGCTGAGAGCCATAAGATGCCATCATCAGAAGCCACAGAAGAATGAGAAGTTTTTCCAGCTTCTGCCAGTCTCAGCCTCCATGCTAGACCTCTAGTGTTAAGCAAGCATTTACGTGAGAAGTTAGAATTACATCTAGAGACCTCCCTTGACGTGGTGCCTGTAATATGGCGGGTTTTGAAAGGCCTTATTTACTGGGGCTAAACTATTTTCTTGCTAGTTATGGGGCCACCAATGTTAGATGGGTCTGATTCAGGATGTGGAGGTAAGAAGCAGAGAAACAGCAAAGCCAAAGACTAATAGACTAGTCAGCTCAAACGCTTCTGCTAGGAACTCTCAGGATGTGGAGGTAAGAAGCAGAGAAACACCAAAGCCAAAGACTAATAGACAAACGCTTCTGCTAGGAACTGTAATATAGTTACCTCCATCTTCGCGTTTGTCCATCGAGGTACTTCCACCACCATGTTGAAGACATTCTGGAAAAAGCAAAATATCAGTGAATGAGAGGGAGTCTCAAGGCCACACTAAATATCAGTCAATGAGAAGGATTCTCAAGATGTAATATAGTTACCTCCATCTTCGCGTTTGTCCATCGAGGTACTTCCACCACCATGTTGAAGACATTCTGGAGAAAGCAAAATATCAGTGAATGAGAGGGATTCTCAAGGCCACACTTTAAACTAGGGAACACGTATAAGTAAGTATGAAACCCAGCCAGTTCTCATGAAAAATGTAGCTTTTTTCCTTTTTACAGTGCCAGTTTTGATACAGCTGATAGAAGTCCTGTAGTCCTGCCAGTCACATGTCATCATACAAAGCTGAATCCCATGAAAAAGACACCAGAAAACCTAGATTGAGATTCCACACCCTTCTCCATCAGTTGCCACCTACAAACACCTCCATCATGTACCGAGGGTACAGAACAGTAGGTTTGAACGAATTGAAGATGGTTGCATACAAACTACCCTGGATGTAACAAAATGAGGCTTTAGGCATCCTTATTAAATACAAAGCACTTAACGCTACAGCAAGAGCCAACCAGGCAATTTAGAAGAGACAAGGATGACAGGACTAAGCCATCTATTTAATAACCTGGGTATCTACGTACTATCTTGAGCAACTGAGAACATCACTCTTAAATATTGCAGTCTGTCTTGAAGCAGGGAAAGATGCCCCAGCTCCCCCTCTCCAAGCCAACACTCCTATAAAAGCAGCACTTGGTAGTGGCATGGTGCAAGGATAAACATGTGGGGGAGGAAGGTAGAACCACATCTTGCAGTATCTAGTGTACAGATGACACTTGAAAACATCTCCTGTTGACTCCAGCTGGGCTGAGACAGCTCTTGAGACTTCGGTGCCAGAGCTTCCTCTTCAAGAAAATGAGCTTTTCCATTCTTGAACTCTAACATTTTCTGTTTGAAGAGATTATGGCTTTTAACAAAAAAGTCAAACCTTGTTCCCTAGCATCGATAATGTTTCTAATCCCCAGGTTAAGCAGTATTAGCACTGCCAAATCCCTCGCACCTGTATTGCGCCATAATTAGATTGCTATTGTGCAATGAGCATGGTTACACCATTGACTTTGCCCACACCCTTCCCTAATAGAAGTTTATTACAAACCCTTAATTGCAGGGGCCCACTGCTCATTTTCAATTTAAAAGTATAAAGGTTTATACTATTTTTATTTCTAAGTAACTTGAGGAAAGGAACGAGGCAACTGGAACCAGCTAGGTATGGTGCTTACAGCTTTGCAGGCAAGGAAAGACAACTTGGGGGTGCATCTTTGTTTAGGGTGGCAGCTTCCCCAGAGTCCAACTGACAGATCTGCCTTGGTCTACAACACCCAGTGAGTAGCCCAAGGTCATTCCTTCACAAGGCCAAGACACACAGGTACAGATAAGGTCAGCACATCCCAGCCCTAGACTGAAAAAAACAGCCTGCAATCCTCTCAGTGTCTTAGAAGTCTAAGGATAAAGATCAAGGAGCCCAGACAGAGGCAAGACAACCTTTTGCTCTAAGTCGGGCTCCCTGCCGTAGCTGGTAATGAACCCGCTAAGTAATGAGTAAAATCTCTGTGGAAAGGCACTCCAGCAACAGAAAGAGGTCTAATGTGATCAGCACTATTGTGTAACTTCGGGAACTGTGACCTTCAGTGATACTTGCTTCTCCTAATGACTTGGCACAGGGATTCTGGCAAGCAGCACTATGTGCCTGAAGGCACACCAGTAGTCCAGTTTCCCCTGTTAATCATTACCAGTCCGCCTCACCCCTATACTCACTCCCCTGCTCTTTCCTCCCTCGTTCTGCAAGCATCTGCAAAGCTGAATATCACCTGGATTTTCCTTGTTTGAGTCACCTTTTGGACACCTGCTTTTGAAAACTGCTTTCCCAGTCGGCCACAGAAACCACTTTGCCGCTGTCCTCGATGATTACAATCTGTCTGTTCCCTTCTGAGCAGGAAAAGCCACATCAGGCTTCCCAGAGCGTGTTCTGACAACATTTGCACCTCAAAGCTCAATCAGATACTTTTAAGAAGTTCATCTCCCAGTTCTACATGCTATTTTCCTTTCCTGTAATTACGCTTTACCTCCAAATTACACCTCTTTTTATCACGCCCATTAGAACAGTTCATCTACTACGCTTCTCAAGCTGGGCAGCTTTTTAGTACTCATTGAAAGAACAGTGAGCAGCCCAAGCTACAAGACAAGCTCCAAAGGTAAAGAACGCAGAGAGAGCCCGAGCTACGCCTAAGAGAGCGTTCAGTGAAAACTGAAAGCACAGCCATTTTGGTTTCCTAGAACTGAGGCACTTCAGAGAGTGATTCAGAACAGCCTAATTTGCCTAGGCGCTGGCTGCTGGAGGGATGTAAAAGCCCTGCATCACTGCCTGCGGCACTTCCCCCAGCTGCACTTTCGGCGGGGCAAGAGGTCCCCAGGAGCCGCTGCAGCACGAATTTAACATCTTCGCCTTCTGTTTGGCAGCTGATCACGCTGCAGGCACAGAGCAGCCTTACTGCAGTCCAAACCCAAGCCTGAAATACCAGGCAGCATGAGCACACAGCATCATCCACAGAAGTGGATGCTACATGGAAAACCTCTTCTTTTACCACAAAACTCTTTCACGCGACCTCACGGGCAGGTTGAGGGCAACCACTCGTATCTCAGACACAAATGTGGGAAGGAGATAATCCAGTCTTCCCTCCTGTGCCACTCTACCTGAGGCTGAGACTGCGAGGAAAGGGCCCCCATCCTTTGCAAGACCTGGGTGGGGGGGTGCTTCACTTCTCGAGAAGCAATGTAAGGAACTGGGAGCCTCCCTGGAGCATTTCAGGCCTGGAGGACCGCGCTCCCTGAGGAGCACTGATACAATACTCACCCCACAGCTCCAGCACCCACCGGCCCCAAGCCAAGCAGGCCGTAACCGGGCCAACCTGGCTTGGTGGCCCTTTCTCCTCGCAAAGGCAGCCTTTTATCCATCCTCTTACCTTGCCGGCATCCGCGTAGATGGGGATATCGTGGAAGGGGGAGATGTAGCGCCCGGTGGCGTCCTCTGTAAGGCAAAATGAGGGGGGGGAGACGCGTCAGGCCCGGCCTGAGGGGAGGCCTCAGGTGAGGAGGGGAAAAG